GTCCGGACCAGCCCTCTCCTACCTGAGGCTCCTGGATGACAATAGCCACGAGGGAGCTGTGGGCCGGGCTGGGGATGTGGTCCCACCATTCCTTCTTAATCCTGAAAAAGGAAAGGAAAACACGTTGGTCTCTCTTCCCATAAAAATGATCACATGGCCAGTACTTCCTAGGGGTCAGGACCATGTTGATTGGTTTGGGATGTCTCACCCTAAGCCCATGGAACAGGTCCTACTGCCAACCCCATTCACAGATGAGCACAATGAGGCTCACAGGGCTGAAGGGTCAGCTGGCAGCAGAAGAGCCGGTTCGTGCCCCAGCGTTCTGCTCCCAACTCGCTGCCTCTGTCCTCAGTGGAACAAGTCCAGGGAAGTAGGAGGGACTCAAGCTGCAGAGAATTCGGGGTGTGCCCATCAGCAGTCCCCCAGGGAGCAGCTCAGAGTCAGGCCAGGGGAGGCCTGAGAAGCTGAGGAGACCCTGGGAGAAATAGGTTCCTTCCCTCCCCTGGTCGGCCTGGAGCCATGGAGTGTCAGCTCTGAGGGAAGGCCCTCAGATTGCCCCTGGATCGGCCTCCGCTGACTCCACTCAGTCAGTCAACATGTCTGTACCGAGCACCTACTATGTACCACTCACTGTGCCAGGCCTCGGGGACACAACAGTGAACAAGACAGACAAAAGCCCAGCCCTCACATAGCTGATCTTCTAGAAGAGGAGACAGACAGAAATAACTATAGGACATTAATTATGGCATCAAGTACCATGAGAGAAAATAAAGAAGATAAAGGAATAGAGAGGAATGGAGGGTGTGATCCAGGAAGGCCTCCCTGAGGAGGTGGCCTCTGAGTGGCGACTGAAGGTGGAAGAGGAGCGAGTCATGGCGATGCCAGGGGAAAGGGCTTTCCAGGTAGGGGCACAGCGAGTGCAAAGGCTCGGAGGGAACTTGCTTGGTGCGTTCAAAGAACAGCAAGAAGGCTGGAGTGCTGGACACAGTGAGTGGGGCTGGGAGGACAGGCGATGGGGAAACTGAGGCACAGAGAAGGGGAAAGACCAGCCCACGGTGACTAGGAGGCGTCGGTGACAAGACACGGAGAAGAGAGCTTGCAATCCCTGCACACTTGCTGTGTGCCCAGCAGAGTGCGGGACACTCGCTCCGTCAATCCTCGGCCATCACTGATCCTCACAAGGTTAAGGCAGGGCTCGCTAGTCCCATTTCAGAGATGGGAGGACTGAGGCTCTGAGACACCATGTTTCCTAGGGCTCACACTCACTGGAAACTAAGCTCCTTCTACCTAACAGCGCACTGTGATCCAAGACTCTCTTAGACTCTTAGGACTGACGAAATACGTTCTCCCTCTCTCTCAGCCTACAAGGGAGGAGCCAGTCACACAGCTACCAGCGCCAGGGCCAGAACCCACGCCCGGTTCTCCCGACTCTCTCAGGGCAATCGGCTAGAATTCCGCGGTCTATGGTCACCTGCCCCCAACTGTCTGGACCATACCCCGGGCAGGACCCGCCTCCCTTTCCCAAGGGAAGGCCCTTCCCAGCCCCACCCTGGCCAGCTCCTTCCCCCAGTCAGGCCTCAGCTCAAATATCCCCTCCTCCCACCGGACACAGCGCCCGGGACACCTGTGCCCTGCGCCCGCCCGGTGTGTTCCCCTCGGCGCCTGGGCGGCTGTGGAAAGCGCCGTGGCGTTTGCAGACCTGACAGTGTCTCCCACAAGGAGCACAGAGTCCTGCGGGTTTTGTTTCAGCTGTTGCCTCAGTGCCTCGCACGCAGTAGCTGCTCAATAAACATTTATGGTTCAAGGACTGAAGCTGACAGATGAGCGGAGGGACTCCTGCCCACTCCCCCCAGGGGCCGGCCCAGGACTCACTTGAGGATGCTGAAGTAGCAGGACAGGCAGACGACCACGATGACGATGCAGGAGATGCTGACGGCAAGTGGGAGGTGCTGCTCCCAGGGCCACTCGTAGTCTGGAGGTGGGAGGGAAGCCGTGAGCCCACATTGCGCTCAGTACAGCCTGGTCTCCATTTCCCAGGGCTGGAGACCGGAGCCTCAGGACAGTGTGTCCCAGACCCTGCACGACTGGGCCACCCCCAAGCCCTCCCGCCTCAGCCCCTGCTGCCCTCCCCTTGCACCCTGAGCCCTCGCCACACTGGCCCCTGGCTGCCCCTGCTGCTCCACGCTCAGTGCCAGCTCAGGATCTTGCACTTGCTGCTCTTCCTGAAGCACAGAGGTCAAGGGCAGTGACTCTGGCCCTGGACGAGCTGAGTTCAAAGCCTGGCTCCGTCGTGTCCTCACTGGTGGCCAGGACACGTCCCTCACACTCTCGGTGCCTGGGTTTCCTCATCGGTACAATGGGGTTAACAACAGTGCTCATCTCACGGGGAGATGTGAGGGTCACGCGACTCACTACCCACAGCACTCAGAGCAGTGCCTGCAGGCCCACAGCTGTTATCACCTTCACACAGCGGGCTCCTTCTCCTCGTTCCCTTCACCCTCGTCAGCTCCAAACCGCCCCCCGCCACGCCCTCTCTACCTTTGCCCCTCTCATCACTCCATCCCCTTTCCCAGAGACCGACTGCCCTCTGGGTCTAGATCGATCTGATTTCCTCTTTTCTGTATGTTTATTTTCTGTCCCCCCGCCCCCGAGTGCCAGTTCTAGAAGGACAGGATTTCTGTCTGTTCTGTTCCCTGAGCTGCTGTATGAACCTGGGAAGGTCCTGCACAGCGGGCTCCTTCTCCTCATTCCCTTCACCCTCGCCAACTCCAAAACCCCCCCACGCCCGCTCTACCGTTGCCCCTCTCATCACTCCGTCCCCTTTCCCAGAGACCGACTGCCCTCTGGGTCTAGATCGATCTGATTTCCTCTTTTCTGTATGTTTATTTTCTGTCCCCCCGCCCCCGAGTGCCAGTTCTAGAAGGACAGGATTTCTGTCTGTTCTGTTCCCTGAGCTGCTGTATGAACCTGGGAAGGTCCACATGTAAGATAATTCATTTTATGTGAGAAAATTCAACACTTCTATTGCAAAAGCCACGTGATAAAGTTGCAAAGAGTTGTTTTGGGGATGCAGCTACAAGTGAGGGCTACATTTCCCAGAATCCCTTGCAGCTATGTGTGGTCATGTGGCCAGTTTCACCAATAAAATGTGAAAAGGAGTGATGTGTCACTTCAGGCTAAGGCTTTTTTTAAATATATATATATATTTTATATTGATTTTAGAAGGAGAGGAAGGGAGAGAAAAAGAGAGACAGAAACATTGATGAGAGAGAAACACTGATCAATTGGCCACCTCCTGCACGCCCCCCCGCCAGTGGGGATTGAGCCCGCAACCCGGGCTCGTGCCCAGGCCAGGAATTGAACCAGTGACCTCCCGGTGCACGGTACAATGTTCAACCAGCCAGGCCAGGCTAAGGTTTTTAAGAAGCAGGTGTGGAGATCCTTAACTCGGGGTCCACAGACCTCCAACAAGGTCGCAGACAGAATTCAGAGGTCTGGGACTTGGATGGGAAAGAAATGACATCTTTATTTTCACTCACTTCTAACTCCTCGAATTTCTTCCCATTAGGAATGGAGGGAGCAAACTACGGTGATAGCATCATCAGTCACTCAGCTGCCAAAAGAAATCACAGCTGTTCTCCTACCACACTGCAGCTGCCAGATCACAAAATGTCACTTATCTCATCCGCTTTCCAATGACAGCATTTATAGAACTGCCCTCGCTCCTGTTTCTAATGTGTTAACAGAGGAGCATATATTCCCAGATCACAAACATATTTAAAACATTTTTATAATTGCATTTCAATAAAACTAGTTTCCCCTGTAACCCTCTGTGCTTTATTTTATAGCTTTAAAAACATTATTCTGAATGGGTCCTCAGGCCTCCCTGACTGCCAAAGGGTCCATGACACAAAAGGTCAATCATCTCTGTCCTGAGAGATGGAGCCACGGGAGGAAGACCGCCCACAGACCAGCACAGTTGGACTGTTACACAGCAAGAAGCACATTTCCACATGTGAAAGCTCGGACCGCGTGGGCACCTGTTACTACAGCCTCGCCTGCCCGCCCGGGCCAGTGCGCCATGCCCGTCGTTCCTCTGTTACCTGCCGTGGCGGCGTCCTCGGACGGAGACCCAGATGCTCGGCCAGGGCCAGTGTCTGGGCACAGCGTGAGGTGGGGGAGGACTCTAACTGCTCAGCTTTCATCACGGATACTCACCGTGAAGCCACTGGACGCGGGGGCTCCACTCGCTCCACATGCTGTTGTAGCTCGGGGCCCAGGCCCGCACCCGCGCGCTGTAGAGGGCCCCGGGCTTCAGGGTGCTGGCTGGGACGTGGAGGGTGTGCTCCCTGTAGGTCACATTACGGACTAGGAACTGGGGAGGGAAGGAAGACATTACTGCACGGCTGGGGGCGGCGGTACCACTCGCACTCGGGCTGCTGTCCGTGGCTGACCCCACAGTGAGTAAGAGCCAGCAGCCTGGTGTTTGGTCGTTCCTCCAGCTCAGGCATTGTTTGGCACCTCAGCCCCGCCTACCAGCCCAGTCACATGGCCCCAATCTCAGCCCCGCCTACCAGCCCAGTCACATGGCCCCAATCTCAGCCCCGCCTACCAGCCCAGTCACATGGCCCCAATCTCAGCCCCGCCTACCAGCCCAGTCACATGGCCCCAATCTCAGCCCCGCCTACCAGCCCAGTCACATGGCCCCAATCTCAGCCCCGCCTACCAGCCCAGTCACATGGCCCCAATCTCAGCCCCGCCTACCAGCCCAGTCACATGGCCCCAATCTCAGCCCCGCCTACCAGCCCAGTCACATGGCCCCAATCTCAGCCCCGCCTACCAGCCCAGTCACATGGCCCCAATCTCAGCCCCGCCTACCAGCCCAGTCACATGGCCCCAATCTCAGCCCCGCCTACCAGCCCAGTCACATGGCCCCAATCTCAGCCCCGCCTACCAGCCCAGTCACATGGCCCCAATCTCAGCCCCGCCTACCAGCCCAGTCACATGGCCCCAATCTCAGCCCCGCCTACCAGCCCAGTCACATGGCCCCAATCTCAGCCCCGCCTACCAGCCCAGTCACATGGCCCCAATCTCAGCCCCGCCTACCAGCCCAGTCACATGGCCCCAATCTCAGCCCCGCCTACCAGCCCAGTCACATGGCCCCAATCTCAGCCCCGCCTACCAGTCCAGTCACATGGCCCCAATCTCAGCCCCGCCTACCAGCCCAGTCACATGGCCCCAATCTCAGCCCCGCCCACCCAGCCCAGTCACATGGCCCCCATCTCAGCCCCACCTACCAGCCCAGTCACATGGCCCGGAATCTCAGCCCCGCCCACCCAGGGGCTGAGATTCTGAGGGCCTCAGGATCCCCCCTTGTATCTTGCCTTTGTGGGGTCCCTCCTCTTGAGTGTGGGCAGGACGGTGACTTGTTTCTCACCGACAGAACATGCAAAGGTGATGGGTGTGTGGGACCGCACATGTGATTACATCATGTGAGACAGTCATTCCGACTCCCCGGACGCCCTCCCTCCCCCTGGCTGGCTGGGAGAAGGCCATGAGGGAAGAACGGAGGGTGGCCTCCTGCCAAGGGCCAGCAAGGGCCTGCGGCTCTCGGCCCAACAGCCCACGGCACACGGATGCTGCCAACATCACAGGAGCCTGGGAGCCATCCCTCCCTGTGAGCCTCAGGTGAGACCGCAGCCCTGGCCACGCCGTGGTTGCTGCCGGGGACGCAGCGAGGCCGTGCCCAGACTCCTGGCCCCCAGAAACGATGGGGCAGCAGATGTGTGCTGTTTAAAGCAGAGTGTGGTGACGTCATGTGCAGCATGGAAGGCTGACGTGGAGTTAAGTGAACATCACGCCTGCACAGACGTAAACTCTGGAAGGACACACCTCAGGCCTCTGCCGGCTCCAGCGGCCTCCCTCCCGGCTCCCCGCCCCAGGCAGAG